TGTTACCTTATACTGTTGTAGACTGTCATGGCCAGTATCTTTGGGTAGTGTTGAGTTTCAAGATTTAGCAGTTGTGTATATTTCCTGACATTTGTACAGCAACTGTTCTCAGGATCTTCAGAGGAAAGGTGGCTTATTGTGCCGACCACAGGCAACTGAGTAAGGACTGTTTGGGCACCTGAGTTTATACCCAGATGGTCTGACTTATTACCAGCTTCAGCCACAACAATATGGAAAACAATGTGTTCATATTATTCCATAATAGACAAACAGACAGATGATAGATAGATAGATAGATAGATAGATAGATAGATAGATAGATAGATAGATAGATAGATAGATAGATAGATAGATAGATAGATNCCCCCCCCGCTCCCTTCAGTGCAATTTGACTCCTTGTAAATTTACAGGGCTTGTAAAAGCAGCCTCCTAGGGATGCGGTGGCTCAGTGGCTAAGACGTTGAGCTTGTTGATAAGAAGGTTGGCAGTTTGGCGGTTCGAATCCCTAGCGCCACATAACGGAGTGAACTCCCATTACTTGTCCCAGCTTCTGCCAACCTAGCCATTCGAAAGCACGTAAAAATGCAAGTAGAAAAATAGGAACCACCTTTGGTGGGAAGGGAACAGCGTTCCGTGCGCCTTCAGCATTTAGTCATGCTGGCCACATGACCACGGAGATGTCTTTGGAGAGCGCTGTCTCTTCGGCTTTGAAACGGAGATGAGCACCACCCCCTAGAGTTGGGAACAACTAGCACATATGTGCGAGGGCAACCTTTACCTTTACCTTTAAAGGCAGCCTGCCTAGTATTTGGCTTAAAAATACTGGGGAATTCTGCCATAACTTAGTAGTGAGGGACATCGGATTGGGTGGCTTTTTTAAAAAAGGGGGATATATAAGAGAGAGAAAACTGCCAGTGACTACTGGTCTCTTGGGGCCTGTGTATTGGAACGGGAGCTACAAAACTCAGCCCGAACTTTGAGCCTATCAGAATGCGCACAGCAGGACTATTTTGAGACAACCCAGGAGCAAAATACAGTAAACAGAGTGGTTTATCTACAAGGAATATATACATACATGTACTAGGCAAAGTCAGGCAATCAATCATAAACTACAGCACAAAAGCACACAGAGAGAGAGTACCGCCTTCACAGGGCCTCTTTTATATATACAGCTCTTAAAGTCATACCAGTTCAAAAACCTTGCTTATTCATTCCTTGCCTTATATCATTGTAGCAGCTGGTCAGCTCTTAAAGTATTTCCCCGACACTTTCTGCCTTTGTTCCCGCAGCACTGCCTTGCTGGTTGGGAGAACCCCGTCCAAATTTCCACCCCCGTCGTCAGCAGCCTGGATCTACATTCATCCTTGGATTCCTGGTGTGCACATCAGGTAGATCCGACTATCGGGAACATACACACACTTTGGTTTTCAAACACCCTACGTAATCCTCGACTTACAACCAGAGCGGGGCCCAAATGTTCTGTGGCTAAGCGAGACCGTTTTTGCCACATTTCACAACCTTCCTTGCCACAGTTCCGCTAAATGAATCATTGCAGTTGTTAAGGTGGTCCCACGGTTGTTCAGTGAATCTGGCTTCCCCATTGATGTTGAAGGGAGTCCCAGGATTCGAAAACAAGTTATAAATATGAGCTAAGTGTCCTGAATTTTAATCATTTGACCCTGGGGATGGTGCAATGGTCGTACGTGTGAGGAACGGTCGTAAATCGCCTTTTTTTCAGTGCCGTCGTCCCTTCAGAGGGCCACCAAACGAATTGTTGCAAACTGAGGACTACCTATATTAGCCAAACGGCTATGGCGGTGGTTTTGATGATCCATTTATGGCAGGCCAAGTAGGGATTATGGCATTAAAACAAAGTTTAAATCCAGCCTTTGTCTGGGCCTGTTTTGTGGTCTGTTAAATGAAGTGAACTTGTTTTTGAAATTAAGGCATTTCACCGCTAGCTAGAACTGCCGTTGGATCAAATTACAGATGAAAAGAGTTGGAAGGGACCTTGTAGGTCATCTAGTCCAACCCCCTGCCCAAGCAGGAGACAGTGTTGGCTGTTAGATAAGCTCCCCATTGGGAGAGGGAGTACATTCAGAGAAGCGTTGTGAGAGTTGTGTTGGAGAACACACAAACCAGCATAGAGAGGCACTGCAGTTTAAGTAGGCTTTTACTTTTGTGGAAATAGAGGTATCAGAGTCCATCAAACAGTCCAAGTCATACACGGATAAGACAGTCAGTCATCAATGTCTTTTCAGTTAAGGGATAATCCAAATAACATAGTCCAGTATCATATAATCAGTTCGGCAAACAAAGTTTGCTAACAGTTGAAAAACTTACAATAGCTCACGGCACTTCCAGATCAGCCCAGCA